CTTTGACCTGAAGCCCTAAACGGCACTTTAGTGGGCCCTTTATCCACAATAACAGAAGCCTCTTCATCACTCCAAGGCAAACGAGATGCATATAATCCAATGGGAACTTAGATACCATCCCTAATGAGAGCCGTCTTAATGGACATGGAGCTTTATGGTGTTCGTCATCTGCCATTTCATTAAATGAACTATCTGTTCGCAGGGTAGCATTCGTTTCAGGAAAGGTCATCTTCCCATTATAGACACCAGGCTGTGTGCATTTGTCACAGCCTGAGTAGCCAGAATGAGATTTTACACATTTAACGAAGGCACGAGCAGGAGTATCACAAACAACGGCTGATATCTCTATAGAGTAGTGCTGCCCATCATAATCTAAGCCATTCGTTTGAAGAGGAAGCATTTCATCCACAAAATCCTTTAGGAATTCCTCAGCATCTTTTGGTTTCGTAGTACCGGAGTACAGACCGATTGTAAAAGGCTCAGGTTTTCTTGACTCAACCAACAAACCTAGTATAGGCCAGAACTGTACGCTGCTGCTCTTAAACAATGGAAGTCCATCAATATTTATCTGAAGATTTATGGTGTTCACATTTCTAAGTTTTATATCATGAGATAGCCGTGAAATTATTTGATTAGCAATTCCAAAGTGATAATATAATCCACCAGCAACATTTTTAATTCCTTCCACTTTAGTTGTCGATAACAATGTTCTGGCATCTTTCGGCAGATCTGGATGGAATTGTCTAAGGATTACTAACAATTGCCCTAGCGCAGTGTGAGTTATTTGGTTTTCTACCGCCCAATTATACAATAAAGTATGAAGGTCATCCTTATGCTGCTCTGAATCTTCATCACCATGCACAGAACTATCTGAGACATTACTATTGGAATCATTTAGTGAGTCCCTGTCTTCAATACTAAAAGCATCATCTCCCTCAACATTACTGTCTACTGTTAATTCATGTTCACTACAGCTATCTTCTTCCATGACTGGTGCACTGCTCTCTATTTCTAACTCAGAATGCTTGTGCATGACTGCAAGGTGATCTTCTGCAATATTTTGCAGGTGCTCTTCTACATTTGATTCGATTTTACGCCGTTTTGTCCAGTAAGACATGATTACTCAAACTAACCTAGCACAGGTGAAGTAATAACCTGAAATAAAATAAAAAAATAATAAATGTCAGATATAAAGAAGTCTAGCTGTATGTTGGCTGAGTCTGCTATAGTAATTCATAATCAAAGAATTATCCCAGCCTGGTGGCAGCAGATCTCACCAGCAGCAGATAAAAATCAATACTATTCTTAGATGGTAAAAAATACCTTTCTTGCTTTGTTATTGAGTGAGTGCATGACTATAGCTTACAGATACAATAACATATACGACTCGATCCTTTACACCACAAAGGACAAAATCTAGTCAATACTATAGCCACAAGTTACCTTCTCGCTTTACACTGCGTTGGCAAGAAGAGTATAGATCCAATTTAAGTGTTATACAATTAAGTGATCGACATTACGACATTATATATAAAGTGAACACCTTTACTCATTATGGAGATAGTACTGGAGTAGTCTAGCCGTAGTAATATTAGTAGGCTGTGCCACATATATCTACACTGTATAGGGCCCTAGTACTANTAGTATTGGCACGGTACTGGCCCAATACCGCTTGAACAGTCGGCCCAACACCGCATGCCAGTACTGGCCCCGTATACTCTTGCACAGCGGCGTTGTACTGGGCCGGCATCGGCAACGGTACCGGGCCAGTACCGTGACGGTACCGAGCCAGCATTGTACCGCTGCCGGCATACAGTATTGGCCCATTCTCGGGCCGTTAACATTGGCTGTACCGGGCCAGCAGCGGCCCACTATTCTGCCAATACCCAGCCAACATTGCAATACTGGCCCAGTACCAGCACAATAATGTACCCCATCCCTTCCCCTGTTCCCCTAGTAATTCAGGTACTAAGATAACAGACAAACAAGCAGATATATAGCATATTTATCTGTATTTAGATATTCATACACGTTACAGATTCTCCTTATACATACACACACGCACGCACGGACACACGCACGCACGCACGCACGCACGCACACACACACACACACACACACACACACACACACACACACACATGCACACACCCACACACATACACACACACGCACACACGCATATATATGAGCATGATTTTTTCTACAATGTCAGAATAATATATATATAGCATAATTGCTAAAAACAACCAAATAAATAGCAACACAATACAAAATATTTAAATGTAGAGACTATATGAGGTCGTACAGTTGTATGAGATATTGACTATATGAGATGACTATAGAGACTGTTGAGGTTCTATGAGAATTACAGTTGCACTACATAACCAATTAAGGCCTGCATGCCTCTCTCTCCCTCTCTCTCTTTATATATATATATATATATATATATATAATTTGCCGCATAAAATAGAAAGTAATCAAATTTAAAATGTAAATGAGTAAATGATATCACATGTAAAATAATATAATACTGAAAACGCGAGCAAACAACACCATGTACCCAGTACACATGCAGACAAACCCGTACAACATATATATATATATACATCAATATATAACATATATAACATATATAAAGATTAGATATGTATCAACATCTGAGAAATCCACCTCCAAAATCAAAGTTCAAACAATCGTCTCTGATTCACTCATTATGCTGTCTTCTTGTGCCCTTTCTCTCTCCCTCCTCTTCCTTCCGCCATGCCTATCTCCTGAATTCCTTAGCCATATCATTATTTCTTTTTGAACAGCAGCCACTGTTGCATTTTCTCCTGGCTGCTTTACAGCTGCACCTGAATTACATGAAGAGCAAATAATTTAGATAAATGTGTATATGATAATTGACGTTTGTTAAGTGCACAATTATCGAATCATGATTAACATATATAAACTCTTAAAAGTACAACACTTACAGAAATGAAAGGACAATAGATTTCTTATTAACTTTCCTTTTTCAAATGTTCAAACCTTTAAATGGGATAAAAAAAATCCTAAATATCGAAAGCTATAACTTTGCACACCACAGGTATAAATAATTAATACGTATATGCAAAATTTAATACCTGGGAAAATCTCAAAATGTGATCATTTTATAACTATAATAAATTTGTATCTTCAACTTTCATACTGTGTACATACTTGTAATTGTAGAACAGAGCTGCAGATTTCCAAATGCTCGCTTGGCCGACGTCATTTGACTCTTCCAGCCAATCCTGCCTGCCCAGTTATATAGAAGGGCCACCTCATGTCCGAGTGTGTAGGACATGACTCTGCGTACGAACTCCTTTATACTGCTACCCCCAATGAGGGACAAATGGTGGACCTGTTAATGAAATTGTATATATATTATATATATATATATAGCTAGTATCTACAACTTTTTAAATAACTGACATTTTAATTTATTATTAATTACTCACATACAATATATCTACACAATAATTAAAATATCTTACATATATAGCATGTCATTAAAATACAATGCAGATACAGTAAGGATTAAAAACGTCTATATAGTCACATTTCTACCAAAAATTAACACAAATTAATTACTATATATAAAAACAGAAAACATTGTGATTTGTGACATGGGCTGAATGAATTGTCATGCCGCTGTATAAATTTTTACATCATGGTAACGATAAGCAAAGATATATAGAAATTGTTCAATATATTATAATTATAGGCTCACCAAAGCTCTTCTAACCCCACTGTCATCAAGTTTGCGCTCGAGCTCCTCTACTGCGTTGACGGTATCCAGTGGCAGCTTGATGTCTTCCGGTAGCTCAGATAACGAGCCATCTACTTCCACTTTGGCAAGCACTTTGCCTAGCAACTTTCGCTGTGCTACCTGTGCAGCGGCAATCCCATCGATGGCGGTCTGCATAGTAGCAATCGCCTTCACCATTTCTCTCTCAAAGGCTGAAAAATTAACGTCACATATCTTTATAGAGCATGATCACAAAAGTATAAATATATTGGGACTGCGACCAGCAGCAATATAAGGAGAATTACTATTTGTTGCAAAACTACAGCTGCATTGTAGTGCTCATCTAAGTGTTTTTCTGCTGCTATAGTTCTAGCACTGCTTCTGATAGATACACCTGTCACGGAAATATATACACAATTGTTTTTTTTATTATTTTGCTATATTTACATGATAGAGTTGGACCATTGCGACGGGGAGGTGTAAATGATTGTTCCTCTTGTTGGTGAGGTGGAAGTGCAGATGGTCTGGGTGCTTTCGGCAATTCCTTATTTCTTGGCCTTGTTCCTTGAGCCCCTGCAAAACAAGCATAACACTGCTTAAATTTAAAGAAATGGTAGCAGCACGGTTTCTCTAAAAATATATAATTGGTTCATTGTTAGTGGATACAACTTGTCATAATAAAAATAGCCATTGCCTTTTAATCTACATGCACACAATTACAACCTATATGTAGAGAACATATAAAATGAAGAAACCTCTCATGTAATTAACATATCTTAATTACATTACTAATAAACTATGCAATACTTTTACATTAGATACACATGCATGAAATAGACCCACCTTGTATCCGACTAGCTGATGAAGGCAGGGCGCATGTTATTGCGGCATCATCTTCTTCCTCGCTGTCAGACAACCACTGTGGTGGTTTACGTTTGCGTCTAGTAAAAGAATAACTAAGTATAAACAAAATGTTACAAAGCTAAGATAAATGATTCATTTTCATCCTTACTAATAAAAAATCAGAAAACGGGATAGTAATTAAGTGATCGTATACACACAAATATGTGATAAAGATGGTTTGTTATACACAAATTATCTTTTGATCAAGATGAATGAATGGCTTACTTTCTAGTTCCTGCCTCATCTGCATTCATTTACAGCTATCAATTGTATCTATATATAAGAATACTTGATGCAGACATTTTTGGTCTACATAAATTATCTGGTGATCAAAATGTGCATGAAATGGCTTACTTTCTAGATCCTTCACCATCGTCTGTCTGGACATCGGATGTCTCTTCTGCTCTCTTCACCTTCTTTCGACCATCCTCATAGCTGTCTACAACAAAACATAATCACATTGAGAAAAGGCAGACCTACACAATCATTGGTATAAATATATGACAATTGGCATATAAAACCAATATAATACAGCAATACCCAACTCAACACAAATAATACATTTCTGAAAAAAATGTGTTAGGGAAATTTCATGTTGGAACAGTGCTGACATGAAATAGGAGTCAATGGGATGAGTACACGGCCCTTTATAATTACAGTTAAATCATTAATATCTTATGAATCAATATCTTTATGTAAAATTCTTTTAGAGATAATGTGCACAAAATAAGAAAATTCAATTGAGGCTGAACAACAGACAGTGATTGATGACTGTCTGAATGTGTACGTACCCCATCCGGATATTATATTTTTGATCAGAAAATTGAAACAATGTAGGTACACCGTAAGCAGTATAACAAACTAGTTTAAAAACGTACAACATGTACTCAAAATACTTACGACATGTGCATAATACCCTGATCTTATAGGGACTCCATGTTTTGAGGTCAGGTTCCAGCCTGTCACGCACTGCCTTGCCTATGGCTGAGGATGATTGAAGTGGTGGCCAGTATGCATATTCCTTCTTCAGCCAATTTGAAGCTACTAATTCTACCTCATTGGTGTCCTTGAAGACCACTACAGTGAACATTCTGATAAAAATAATCCTACGCATGAAGATTTGATGACTAATAAGACTCAGTACTACATTACATTATTCAGTAAACTGGAAACAGTCAAAATGGGGCCACCGACTTGAAATGTATATATATAGACCATTGAAACTATGAGACTACTAGATGCATAGTTACTATAATCAAACAGCAAAAAGTGAGTGCCCTATCAAATAATTCAGAATGTATGTATGACGGGCATTGCTACATACACATTTTTAAATGGCAGCAAAACATATTTTCCCCTGATTGCTTGAATTTTAGTGACATGAAGTTGGGCACTAATATTTGTTACTTGATGAATATCAATTTGCCTTGAATCTAATGGATACGTGAAAAAAGCCTCACGTGATAAAAATATCTTATACACAATGTATATTCCTGCTTCACACTTTATTATGTTTTCTACCAAGCCAACGTGTGATCCCACACTCACACAATTGTCAGCACTGTCTATCTTGACACTAAAATTGCTCAACTGCACTTCCTTATACTGTGAGCATGGGAAGTATAATCTTCCAACTGGAAGTGGCCCTTGTATGTGATTTTTTTTTAGGGATGCAACAAAACTTTCTAAGTGGTTCTCATTGTCAATCACAGGTGTCAGGTTAGCTTGTTCTATTAATCGTAAAATCACCTGTTGAAGCACAAAGTTTGGCTTCCTTGGCAACTTTTTAAGCTTACTGAGAAAATTTTCATGTGGAAAAGAAGAGAACCTGTCTAACGGACCATGATTTTTTACATCCTGTGCCAAATGAACTAATCCATGAACATTATAGGTAACCATATTTTCTCCAAACAACTGTGAGTAATGCTGGACAAAGAGGACTAGAAGACTATGAGCGTAGTCGCAGAAACGATTGCACAGTGATGGATTTGCTAGTAGATGTACTCCAACAGAGAGCAATAAGAAATTTTCATATAAGGCTTTAGCTATTTTATCTTTTAGAACTACAGGACCTGTATAAAGCAGGAAAAGTCTAAATTCAGTGGCTTTCCACCGCTCAATTTCAGCCAGGGCCCTTGGTTTTCTAACAAAGTCATTTGTTATATGACGACACATTGCTAGAAGACATTCTGAAATTGCCACTTTGACCTGAAGCCCTAAACGGCACTTTAGTGGGCCCTTTATCCACAATAACAGAAGCCTCTTCATCACTCCAAGGCAAACGAGATGCATATAATCCAATGGGAATTTAGATACCATCCCTAATGAGAGCCGCCTTAATGGACATGGAGCTTTATGGTGTTCGTCATCTGCCATTTCGTTAAATGAACTATCTGTTCGCAGGGGAGCATTCGTTTCAGGAAAGGTCATCTTCCCATTATAGACACCAGGCTGTGTGCATTTGTCACAGCCTGAGTAGCCAGAATGAGATTTTACACATTTAACGAAGGCACGAGCAGGAGTATCACAAACAACGGCTGATATCTCTATAGAGTAGTTCTGCCCATCATAATCTAAGCCATTCGTTTGAAGAGGAAGCATTTCATCCACAAAATCCTTTAAGAACTCCTCAGCATCTTTTGGTTTCGTAGTACCTGAGTACAGACCGATTGTAAAAAGCTCAGGTTTTCCTGACTCAACCAACAAACAAAGTATAGGCCAGAACTGTAGGCTGCTGCTCTTAAACAATGGAAGTCCATCAATATTTATCTGAAGATTTATGGTGTTCACATTTCTAAGTTTTATATCATGAGATAGCCGTGAAATTATTTGATTAGCAATTCCAAAGTGATAATATAATCCACCAGCAACATTTTCAATTCCTTCTACTTTAGTTGTCGATAACAATGTTCTGGCATCTTTCGGCAGATCTGGATGGAATTCTCTAAGGATTACTAACAATTGCCCTAGCGCAGTGTGAGTTATTTGGTTTTCTACTGCCCAATTATACAATAAAGTATGAAGGTCATCCTTATGCTCCTCTGAATCTTCATCACCATGCACAGAACTATCTGGGACATTACTATTGGAATCATTTAGTGAGTCCCTGTCTTCAATACTAAAAGCATCATCTCCCTCAACATTACTGTCTTCTGTTTCATGTTCACTACAGCTATCTTCTTCCATGACTGGTGCACTGCTCTCTATTTCTAACTCAGAATGCTTGTGCGTGACTGCAAGGTGATCTTCTGCAATATTTTGCAGGTGCTTTTCTACATTTGATTCGATTTTACGCCGTTTTGTCCAGTAAGACATGATTACTCAAACTAACCTAGCACAGGTGAAGTAATAACCTGAAATAAAAAATAAAAATAATAAATGTCAGATATAAAGAAGTCTAGCTGTATGTTGGCTGAGTCTGCTATAGTAATTTATAATCAAAGAATTATCCCAGCCTGGTGGCAGCAGATCTCACCAGCAGCAGATAAAAATCAATATTATTCTTAGATGGTAAAAAATACCTTTCTTGCTTTGTTATTGAGTGAGTGACTATAGCTTACAGATACAATAACATATACGACTCGATCCTTTACACCACTGTACTCAATCCCTAATACCGGTATATATATATATATGTAGAATATAGAGTTGACCTAGTACGTACGAAATTAAGTACAATCGCTACACTGCTACAGTTTGACTATAGGGCTATTGTATAGACAAAATCTAGTCAATACTATAGCCACAAGTTACCTTCTCGCTTTACACTGGGTTGGCAAGAAGAGTAGATCCAATTTAAGTGTTATACAATTAAGTGATCGACATTATATATAAAGTGAACACCTTTACTCATTATGGAGATAGTACTGTAGTAGTCTATAGCCGTAGTAATATTAGTAGGCTGTGCCACATATAGCTCTAGTACTATAGCCCGCTTACATTGACTGCCGCTGGCGTCAGCGGCAGTCTGCCGCTGACTGCCAGCGGCAGTCAATGTAAGCGGGCTATAGTACTAGAGCTATGCCACATATATCTACACTGTATAGGGCCCTAGTATATAGTCACTAGAGACTAGAGTAGATTAATTGACATCATATATGTCGGCCTGCTGAGGTCTTGGGTCTAGATATATATATAGCCGTATATATAGCCTGGTTTCGGTATTGTTAGTCCTACCAGGCTCTGTGACTGTTTTACGTGTCTTTCACGTACTATATCACAGCGATACGTACGGTGACTTGTGGCTAAGGTATTGCCAGCGGGCGTTATTCGTTATATTCTATAGTACTAGAGCTAATTATACAGCATCTAGTCATGATGATAGTGTGATTATATAGTGTCGTATACAAAACCTGCTTTCCCTAGTATCAATGCGAAGATTAAGTGCACGAAAAGACAATACTATGTCTATCTTATAGTTTATAATCAATAATAGCTTATGGTTAAAAATATAACTTAATTGTTATTTCTAGATAAATTTTACTTACCAAGAATTGAGTCAAATATTTCGCTGCCGGCAGATTACTGCTTTCACTAGTTTGAAATTTAGCGCGGAAATAAATATACCGATAGGTGGCGTTTTAAGCTCACTTGTTGAAACATTTTTTAACTTTTTTTTTTCATTGAGTATATCATAAATTTACATGTGTGCCCATAACACGACTTCTATATAAACTATATAATTCACAACAAATTATTTTATAATACTGTCATGTATTAAAAATTAAATAGCATATACGTTATATATATATATATATATATATATATATATATATATATATATATAATATATATATATATATATATATATATATATATATATTATTATATATATATTTATTTATTTATACATATATATATAGTATTAGTAATATATATATATAAAATATATAGTAGCATAGCGGCATTGGCCCAGAACCGGCCCATAACGGCCGCTGCAGTAGCGAATCTAGCGATAACGTCTCGGCGGTACTGGCCCAATACCGTGCCAGCTAACTTGCCCGGTATCGGCCCGCTTAGATCACAGGCACCTATATCTAAATCCCCCAATGCGAATACCGAAGGTATGAGAAGGTAGGACACACAATTTCACGACTTTATCAAATCGGACCTGTTTTAGATAAAAAATGTGACTGTTTCAATAAAAATACATGTGCATATACGTTCTTAGTTTGTATTGTTGTCTCCGGCGTCTTTGGTTGAACTGTCAATCATGTTTTACACACGTATATAGCATATATTCCATATTTGTTAAAAATTAACAGTTCCCACACGTAAGAAAAATGCCAGCGACTTGTGTTTACATCGGATCGCACAGAATAAACGACGCAATATGATTGGTTGAAAAATGTCGCACATGTTCGCCGTCAGGTGCTGTGCTTAGCGTCCATAGATACCAAATAAATACTACCCTTGGGGGGGGCTCGTAGTAGTAATGCAGCGTGCAACATGGAAGAGCAAATTAAAAAGGCTGTGCGCGACGGGCATAACATTTTGATATTGGGGCAGGCTGGAACTGGGAAAACATGTATGTTGAAACCTATGTATTACGAGTTAGAGGCAACAGGGAAATCCGTACAGATGACGGCAACTACTGGAATTGCAGCGACTTTGCTGCCATCAGCATCAACCATCCACAGTTTTTTTGGCATTATGGACGGGAGATTTTCCGATGGTGAACTAATCGAACGTGTCACGAACGATACCAATTACCTGGACGTTAAACGGAGAATTGAAAAGTGTGATGTACTGATGGTGGATGAAATATCAATGCTTTCTTTGAAACTGTTTCTGCAGATTGAAGTGCTTTGCAGGAATGTACGACAAAACTGTATGCCATTCGGTGGAATCCAGGTAATCCTGAGTGGTGACCTGTATCAATTAAAACCAGTGCCCAGTACACGCTATGGTGATCCAGGATGCCTCTTCATAGAAGCAGACAACATTAAGACACTGGTGCCACATCACTTCATCCTCAAACGCGTGTACAGACAGACGGAAGGTATGAATTGACAAAATGAAAATTGAAAAAAATTTATTTTCCATATAATATAGTTTTTGAACACAGAACTTCAGAAGAACGTAGTAGGAATTACAATTACTAATATATTAGATGTACTTAAAATGTCCTTGTTTATACACATTTAACGCGCACAGGGTTAATGACTATAATCTATTGTGTGTTTTTCAGATGATCTGGTTACGGCTGTACAGGAGCTCAGCCGAGGGGAATTGTCGACGGACACGAGCAACTTGATTCAGAGATTGCATCGCACTTTACCACCCGGTGATCCACCTGTGAAGCTGTTTGCCCTGAATTACGATGTCGGCGTTTGCAACTCTGATCATCTTTTGGATATGCCAGGTATAGCATATGCATTGAATAATGGTGATTATCTAAGTGATTATATCATATAAGATAATATATATATGATATATGACAATATGAGAATATGATATATGAGAATATATGATGTATGATTATATGAGAATGAACAGTCGTACAAAATATTTTTATATACATTAAACACTATTTCGGTGGGGAATGTCTATTAACAGTCGCTTTGCCATTTTATAACATGTCCGGGGTAAGCAATGACATGTAGCAATGGAAATGACGTCATCACATACAATGGCGTGGTTCTCTTTGTTACATGATATTTATTACCACTGACAAGTTGTAAGTGACAATAGGTCTATTACATTATCTTGTATTGATGTTCACAATACAAGATTTTTCTCAGTTTTCTTAGATAAAATTAACTTATCTCCGAATAATAATTTGAAGTGTCCAATATAAAAAACCCATTCGTTTGTTTGCATGTGGTGTGGGAACATTGCTTTAACGTTTAAACAGTTGATCACTCAGCAGATCTGTCTACCCACTGAACACTGTCATAGACCCCTTGTGACCCATAATGAGCATGTAATTGCCATGTTAGGCCAGACTTTTATTTATTAGATTTACAATACCCCATGAACAAAATGTATGGTAAATGCCCTAATTCTTAATACAGTCACGAGTAATATTAACGGAGTGTGCATCACACTATAATGACTTTGGTCTCCAACTAAATGCATATATCATCAAAGTAATGTTATGCGAATACATTTTAACAAATAACAAGTTAATATTGTGAGAAACCCAGGAATAAGTCACAGTTTGCTACATTTCTACACTAATTCTTTACACGAAATAACCGCTTAGTTGATTTTCTCACAGTTATATGAATTTTAGTCAAACATAGAAATCTTCAAATGTATAGGGAGCTGGACAGCCTTAATTAGTAATATTATGGCTATAGGCAAGACACACCATCACACATATAGGCGCCTTGCACACCCAGTCTTAGTGTAATAGTACTGCGATACTGATAGAGTAAACAATAATTATATTTTCTGAATTTGGGGATGTTTGAATTATTAATACAAATATTTTGTGTATAAATAAATTACCAACCTTTCCCAGATAAGCAGTTACTAAATTTAAACAGGATAAAACTGTGGTCAGTCTGTGGATACAAATGGTCTTCGATTACATACATTCAAGAATGTGTTAAATAATTATTTTTTTCTTTTAATCACTGACACTGAGTTTCTGAGAATTTCCTGTAAACCTAATAAATACAAATGTACAGCGGCAGGTCAGCAAGTCTACAATCTGATCTTTCTTGTCTTGCAGTGTTTAGACTTGCTTTTCTTTGCTGGTTTACATATTGTTTTCTTTGCTCGTTTACATACTGGTCCTGTAACATAATGGTTATACGGTTTAGCTGCTTTCAGCCCAGCATTTGATTTTCTACCCCTCGACAACAATGACTGTCCTAACAGGACTGAATTCACAGTGGTACGATAGGTGGCATAATTCGGGTTTGTGGCATTCCCATTATGCAATCCCCTTTGCTGGCAGAACATGTTTTCTGCAATGTCATTATTAAACCGCGAGGGGCTGACACTGCCAGTCTTGTACTCGCTCAGGTGTATCTGACATACTTTAGGGAATGTGACCAGCATACATATCATGTCATCCAGACAAGCTGTTGATGGAAGCATTCTGCTCATTTCTCCATTTGTAAGTGTGGTATTTGACCTGACGTTGTTTCTCCACATTTGGAACCACCTGAGAGCTTGTGACAGAATATGAAATCGGTCATCACTGATGCTGATGATTGGTTTCTTACTACGAAATATTGATATGAGTTTGCTTGAATGCTCCAGAAGTTCGATTGTACTGGTTAGTTGTGATGCGTTCTTGTCTTCTAGACTATTTTGGAAACACTGCATAAGGTGGAACATTTCGTCATTAAGCATCTGCTCGGCTAAATGATTCCTCATTTTCTCAGAACCAGATGGGTGCAAATGTGTGTCTGTCACTTTGTGGTAAATAGGCCGACTGTTTACATTTCTGTCCCATTCTACTGCATCAATCCAATGTTGCCAAACTATCGGTTTGTCATTGCAAATCAGCTTCCGTGTGTGCTTACCCTTGATTTCACCACTGCTTAGAATGGCGTTTCTGAGTTTTTTGATGTTGTGGGAAAAGTCTTGAGTATGCACAACACTTCGTGTCTGGTCGGCCAAGTTCGGGGAAGCATAGCTTGCTTTCACAGGGTCGCCATCGAAGTGAGATTTGACAAATTGGCGATTTTCTTCTCCTCCGTCCTGGTTGATGAAATCCACCGTAAAGCCCCAATCCGCTAGTTTGGCAATTGCATCCCATATGATGATGTGCAGTTCTGATGCTTTTACTCCACCCGTAGGGTAATGGCAGAGTGGAAAACGGAATCCAGTGTATCCCATAAAAGTCAACTGTATGACTTCAGAAGCAAGTGTCTGCTTCACACAACCTTCCTTCAGCATTCTGAGGTTGCCTGCTTCTTCTCCAACATCTATCCAACCGGTCAGACTAGGCTTCCCCCCCATCATGATTAGAACAAGATCCTGTTGAATTTTAGTCTCATCATGATGAAGTCCACCTGCCCATCCATGGTCTGGAACCTTGGCTTCTTGGGCCGCTGCCCTCATCCATTTCAGCACTTGATCGTTGATGCCTGACTCCTGCGGAATACAATTCTTGTACCTTCTCAGTTTGTCTTCCGGATGGCAACAGCAAACATCTTACTGTCTGTCAAATCTGCATAGGCTTTGGGCTTCTCACCCATAAAGTCAGGCATGTGCTAATAAGCTGCTTGTTCCAACGGTTGCTGCGTGGGGTCTTTGCTGTTAAAGCTTTATGTTGTGCCTGGAACAACACCTTCATGTGTTCTGGTGCATTTGGTAATACTTTGTCCATTATTTTCACAAGGTCAACATGATCAACTTCATTCAGCTCTATATCATCAACTGTGTCCGCTTGTGCATCCAGAACGATATCTGACATCTGTATGGTTTGTTCAAGTTTGAAATGTTTTGCTCGGTATTGTGAACACGTAGTTTGACAAGTTCTACAGCATTCTTGTGAACACCATGGCAGTACTTGACAACAGTGTTTTGAACGAACATACAGATTTCCAGCATTTTCATTACCAAGTACAGATAGGAGTTCTTCAGTGAAATGTTTGGTGTCATTCATAAACTCATCTCTTGTAGTGCTTACTCCACTGCAAAGTCGAATTTTGTCTGCGACTTCAACAATGTTCTTGATAGCATTGGTGGTCAATGAGAAATGACAATCCAGTCCTAGTTTACTGAGATTCACTAGTTTTCCACGAATTTTTAAATGCCAAGTCAATGAATCACAGAAGAAGGTAATTTCTTTCACAGTTCTGTTGCCATTACAAATTTGTGTGGTTGGCACCATAATCGAAAGTGCATTCAAGTGATGCTGTGGTAGGCAAATGGCTTTCCTTGGAATGCAATTGGGAAGTTCAGTCCACTGTATTTTTTTGTCATTTGTATTGTCTGTCCATCTAATTCCTTTGTAAGCATGTGCTCCTTTTCCAGACACTTTCCCATCAATATATATATACCGTTACATTTGGAAACAACTTTCGAATTGTCTTCCCCACAGTACTACTTGAGATTTGTGGGCATCTTCATGGTGAGAGTTAAACCTCTTGCGCAGTTCATCCGATTTGATGGAGTATAAAGGAGCGCTTTCCACATTTGACGTTAACCTGAAAAAATACAAATAATTGTTATTTATAGGACAGGACTGTGCACATTAACACGTATTAACTAATGCGAAGTCGATAGCTTAAGTCATTGTATTTAAATTAAGTCAAGCCAGACAAATTTAAGTTCTTGTTTTAAAGACCATCCTGCCATATTTTTTTAAATAAAAAAAATGGAAATGAAAATGCTCACATATATGTATAAAAAACGATTTTATATTACAATTGATATCAAAGTGACGAGCATACATGTCATTTAAAGGTGTATGTGTCAAATTAAACGTCATTAGCTATGTATATATGTAAGAACATGAAATCAGAGTATGCCATTTATTTAACCCAACAATTATTAAACTGGTCTGGCCTCAGAAAAGCTAACAACATTTTAATAGAAATAAATGGTAATTTGAGTATGTATTTGCTCTGTTGTAGGTGAGACAACGGTCTACAGGTCGGCTGATACTGGAGATCCTAAAGGACTAGAATACTGCAACGGTGAAAAATGTCTGTACCTTAAAATGGATGCACCTGTGGTTTTAATAGTGAACATGTCTGCACAGTTGGTGAATGGACTTCAAGGAAAAGTTGTTAGCATGGAAGAAGAATCTGTTGACGTACATTTCCCTTCTATACAACGTACCGTGAAGATAGTACCATTTACATTCAATGTGTTTGACCCCACACAGAGAAGAGACACTGCCAGTCGGAAGCAAATTCCATTGAGATTGGCATTTGCCTTCACCGTGCACCGTGCACAAGGACTCAGTCTGGATAGACTCGAAGTTGATTGTAGAAATATGTACAACCCAGGACAGATAGGAGTTGCTATTGGTAGGGCTAAAGCCAAGAAAGGACTGAAAATTTTGAACTTCACTTCTAAATTACTGAGGAAACATTCCGATGCGATCGTGCAATACTGTCAATCGGTGTCTGTACAATTAAAAGAAGACAAAAGTTGTTGTACGTGTGCAGTGCACACAGCTAATGGCAACGGAACTACGTTGCCATTGACACCAGATGATGAGGTTGAAGACTTAGAGGCTCATTTGTCAGAGTTGGAGAGAGAAGGTGTTGAACCTGCTCTGGCTTACGCCATGCCAGAGGCTATCGATATTCAGAAATCACTGGAAAGTGCTATGTACGAGGAACCGGCTACACAACAACAGACTGATCTCAACAGTACACTGGCTAACATGACTCAGAAACTGGACCACACTAAAAAGTTTGCCACGCACATATGGAACAAGTTCGAAGTTGTATTTCAAAAATGTATTCCACAAGTAGAGACTGGAAATGTCAAAGTGGCTAACAAGCATACTACAGCCTTTTACAAGGAGATCACACTTTTTCAACAAAGTGCAGGATATACAGACCTAGTGAAAAAACTCTTCCAGACGGAATCACCCAAGCCTGTACACTACAGAGCATGTTATTGCATAATTCAGACACTCAGAGGTCACATTGTGAAAAGGGCAGTCGCAGGAATCCAGAAAGAAGCAAGCGAGATTAACGAGGCCGCAGAACTACGCAAAGGCTCAATTGGTGGTAGGGGCAAATTGCGGTATATTGGAGGTTGGTGCATAGCAAAATTAAAATTCAGAAAGAAACAGGCAGTGAGAAGAAATTTATACAAAAAAACAACAAAAGCAATGATCAAACGCTTGGATAACGAGGTCAGACATCTGGAACAGCTGATTGAGCAAGAAAGCTACTTGTTAGAAAATTCCACGGACAAAGACTCACTATTAGATGTCCGAAGAAAACAAAATTTAACTGGAGGATTAACAAACATTAGTGACTCCACTTTCAACTTCTTCGAAACCTTAGACGTATGTGTGCTACTTGGATGCAACTTTTCACTACAGACATTGAGGATAGTGACATTGTTGGATTACTGAAAGTACTATATGGTGAAGTGATTAGGAAATATTTGCGAATGTCAACAGCGCAGTTTCGCAGGGATTACATACGGAAACTGAATGTACAGAAACAAGCAGCGCACAGGGAACAAATCAAGAAAAGCAAAGGATTGAAAAGGAAATCAGAACAGCCCACACAATCAACTTCATCAGAAATACCGACTACTAAACAAAAAAGGAAAAGCAAAGGGGAGACAACGAAACGTCAGTCCAAGAAATCAACATCTGGTAAAGCATCAGAAATACAATGGCCATGTCCAATATGTCAACTAAATTGTGAGACAGACTGTGTAGCTTGTGACTCGTGTGACAGTTGGTTTCATGCAGCGTGTGTCCACCTTTCAATTGGAGACGTAGAATGCGAGGACTGGTTTTGTGAAACATGCAAGGCTGGGAACTGATTCGTGTTGGGAACAGATATGGACTGGGAACTATAACATGTTCCGTTATTGAACAGTTGTACTACATGGAGCACTACTGTATGATGTAAGGGTACCGTATGGATCGTTATTACACTGTGTTGTATTAGATATATGTAATTTTATGTATTAAATGCGTGTGTTGTGTGTACACGTGTGTGTGTGTGTGTGTGTAAATATGTGTGTGTGTGTAAATATGTGTGTATATAAACATCATTTATTTCAAATAGTACATTTGCCTTTTAGTTTCATTTAAATCGAAATACACTTACCAAGACGCAATAAACACGTCACCAGATGCCATCTCTGCAGCTCTCAGATATTCTCCACAGCTAGACAACAACTCTCCGACAGCATACGACAAATTCAAAGTCGAGATCAGTTGTATTTCCCGGACTTGAATTTTGTCCAATCAGGTGGCGGCATTACATTCAGCTCGAAATCGTAGCGAATTTGTCAACACCATGACCGCCATTGTACGTGTGGGAACTGTTAATTTTTTACTGGCGACGGATATTACTCTCCTAACGCTATCAAATATCATCGACAGTGAAAAA